CACATGGCGCAATGCAGCGCCCAGCAGTTTTAAAATCCCGGGCTGCGACATTACGCCTGGGTGTCACCCCGCCCACCGGTTTGAACATGCTGCGTGTGGCAGCAGCAGCTGGCAAGGGGAATGTGACCGCGCACGTCCGGGTCAGCCCCAACTGCAGGATAGTTGCATGAGGGGGGTTTGGTGGGGGCCAAACTAATCCCTGTTGGTAGGAGGATGGTGGGAAAAGCCCTTTGAGAGGGGTGACATGACACCGTTTACTTCTGGTCATGTGTTTATCTTGCCCCAAGCATGTTACCTCCAGAGGCGTGGCTAATGGAGGGGGGGCAGGGGTGTGGCTAATGGGGCACCACCAAAAATTATACAAACCTGCCGCCCATGCTGTTAAAGGGTTTGCAGTGAAAAAGTACAGCAATTTATTAATCGCATTAGTGCAATTGTCAAAAGCCTCATACTACGTAAAAATCTATAATATCCTGGATCTTACAAAGTTAGCATATAAATGTGACGGTCTAAGCACTGAAGAGTGAGACAGTGTGCAACATTAAAGTTATGTCCGAACCAATATTGTGCGTGTATTACACATTCCTCTCTGTGCTGAGCTGTATGTTGATGTGTGTTGTTACAGGCATCAGTTAACAAAATCTTTTTAGCTTTAGCAGTTTAGGCTTTTAGGCCTGAAGGCCTAATGGCAGCTGTTGCACATAATCAGATACACAAGCAAGAAAGAGAAACCTTTAACACACAGCAAATGACTGATATCTACATGGTCTGGGTGAGTACCTACCTTCTGCAAAACAGAACACAGGAGATGGTCAAAAACATTACCTGTGAGGAGGGACAAGATACTTCTGAAAGTACTGTAGGCAACTGGACTGAAGCACATCTTATAAAGTTCAGTGCTTTCCTGAATTGAAGTTAATGTGCTCAGCTGCACTTATCAACTTGAACTTGGGCCTTAGTTTTCAAAACTGAGGGTAAAAACCTGTCTCCATTGTCATCAGTGGCAAAACTCTTTTTAAATTCAACAAGGCTAGGATTTTTTTTGCAAACCTTGTATAGAAAATGCAGAATGGCCATTAAGATAATCTATAGCTAGGGTTGCCAGATGGTTTAACCAAAAATACTGAACATCCCCTCTTTCCCCTCCCCCCCAAAAAAACACCGGGGGAAAAATTCAGTCGAGGGGGAAAAAAAAAGGGAGGGGGGGAGACCAAAGTTGAGCAAAAAAAAAAAAGGTCCTCAACAGTTATTAAGCAAAGAAATAAAACAGCATGGCCCCTTTAAGTGCGTGCAGAGTCAGAATAGGGATAGGAAGAGGAGAAGTTGAGCAATAAGACCCAAGGAAGGCATTGCTTTCCCTTGCTCGGGTCTTTAGGCTTTTTGCCCATGGCCATCTTGTTTTCTTGGTTGAGCCAGAGGGGAGGTTCCCTGCGGAACCAGGTAAGCAGGGATTCCGGGGGGCTGGGCCCAGTTGCTGAATGTGTCTTAGGGTTGCCAGGTATCCGGTATTTTCACCTCCTGGCAGCACAAAAAACCCAGAAAATACTGGACATTTTAGGTGTCCGGTATATTCTGAATTTTTTTTACCAGACAGGAGGTGAAAATACCAGACTGTCCGGGTCAATACCGGACACCTGGCAACCCTATCTACAGCCTCAGCAACTAATGTAGCATGCTGTGCAGTGATAAAGGAAAGCTGTCTGTGGCTTGCTTGTTTATAATTTCAGAATTTTAATTTAAACTCAGATTTGAGCCATCTAATTTTTTCTCTTACATACAAGAGTATTAATCAGGAGAAACTCCACAAACATCAATGGAATTACACTTTTGTAAAGTCTACTGTAATGGAGGGAGGAAGAACACAGTATCTCTTCCCAAAGTACTTCTCAGGCACACACATTTGGAGACATATTGTGGCAGAATGAAATAAACAGTTTAGAAATGTTGAATCTGAAAAAAAAAATTACTGATAATTACATTTCAGATGACTAATATGTAAAGAAACATGGTCAAGACTGAGGTGCCACACCTGCTTTAACCAATCAGTCTGTTTGCAGAGTTAAAAATTAAAAAAATATTGATCAAAGGTTACTTCCTTCTCTCTCTCTGCAGCACATAGGTAAATGAAAATTCTACAGGTCATAAGATGAATCAAGTGAAATGCATGTGATAATGCAGATGTTGTCAACAAGAATAGCAGAAAATGAAATTTCCAACT